AACATGTTCATGAACTTTTGAACTGAACCTGAACTGAACCTGAACTTGACTTAAAAGTTCAATATTGAATCTGAACTAAACTTTTTTTAAAAAAAGTTTAAGTTCAAGTTCAGTTTAATTTTGAACTGAACTTAAACTTGGCCAAAAGTTCAGTTCAGTTTAGTTCATAGAAACACTAATCATTGGCTGATCTTATGGAAGAAAATTAGAAGCCAAAGTGGAATCAGATATACTAGCTCAAAAAAGAATCAGCAGTTAGAAATACTGATCAAGTGCTTATATGAAAAATTGTCAGTACTTAAAACTTTGGCCAGTAGAAGACCAGATCTATACAGGGCCTTATATTGTGTAGTATGCGAAAAAAATGAAGAGAAAGACCAGGCTCACTTTACAAGATGTGAGAAATATGAAGAAAAAATGGAACGAATTAGAACAAACAGTATCAAACTTAGTGAACAACTCTATCTGCAGAAATGAGAAATCAGCTTAATAAAACCCAACTCAAAAACACTTTATGAGGTCCTACTAGAGAAAAAAGAATTAAAACAAGATCTGGTATTCTCAAAGGCTTAATCCAGGAAGAAGTCTTTAGAAAACTTCTCGCTATTATAAAACCACTAAAAGAAGTACGTGACTATTTGGAAACTGCAGTGAATCTAGCATAGAAATTTTTTTATAAGAATATCTGAAAACATAAATGTTCAGCTGTCAATGAATAGGAAAAAGCTGAGGGTATTGACACCAAACAGAAGAGAAGATAGAAACTGAAAAAAGGCTTTGTCGATAACACAAAGAAACCACGTAAGACTTCAGAGAAGTCTCTCGATAATCAAAAACCAAACTAAGGGAAAAGTAAAGAAAAAAGAAAAAAGAGAAAAAAAGGAAGAAAAAAAACAAAGAAAGTTGGTATGTTTTGAGTCGATTAAAAATTATATTGCAAATAAAGCAAACTATTCTGGTATGGTTTTGCAGGCTAGCTTGGTGCAGCCCCTGGTGTGGGTATAAGCCTTATCCAGTAAAGCAAACCACTTTTGGGCACCTTTAGAGGTAGTCGAGAGATGTCAGATCTATAGTTTAGATAGTTAATATATATATATATATGCTTTGATCTAATAAAGATACCAGTGAGGCTACTGATAATTTTAAAAAAAAAAAAATAGATATTTAAAATTTTTTTAAAACTTATATCTAATCTATCTTAACAACCATTTAATAAAATTTGATAAAAAAATTTTTATTTAAATTTTGTGAATCTATAGAATTTAAATTAAAAAAAAATCTATCAAATTTATTAAGTGATTATTAAAATATCTTTAATAAAATTTTTAAACAATATAAGTTATAGCAAATTTGTATATAATTTTAATTGAAGATATCTTAACAACTTCTTAATAAAATTTAATGACTTTTTTTATTTAAATTCTATAGATTCATAAAATTCAAATAAAAAAATTTATCAAATTTTATTAGATAATTATCAAGATAGTTTTAATAAAAGTTTTAATATCTATTAAAATATTAACTATAACAAATTTATATATAACTTTGATCAAAAGTATCTTGATAACTATCTAATAAAATTCAATAAACTTTTTTTATTTGAATTTTATAAATCCATAAAATTCAAAAAAAAAGTTTAGCAAATTTTATTTAATGATTATCAAGATATCTTCAATAAAAGTTTTAAAAATAAGTGATTTATATAAAGTGTGAAAATATCAAAAAGGGGTGTGAAAATACTAATTCCCAATAAATATATTGTTTAATATTAAAATAAAAAATATAGTTTTTTTTATTACTATAGTACAAGAAATCTTAACTAACCAATATTTCAATTTTATATATGCAGTGTAATCTAAATTAGCTAATCAGGCTGCTAGAATAGGTAATATAAACTAAATTAAAAAATTTTTTGAAAAATTTTATTTTTAAAGCTAAATTTTGATTGGTCAAAAAATTTTTATAATAAAAATCAAAGTTTTAAAAATTATATATGTTTCAATTTTTATTTTTAATATAAAAATAATCTAAATTTAAAAGTTATTAACTCTTTATAAAAATATATTTTTAAAATCTAACCGGTAATATTGTAGAACTTGTTTTGAAAAACAAAATTACTGGTTAGTTTTTTAAATTTTAATTTTTTAAAGAGTTAATAAATTTAAAAGATCATCTATTATATCAGTGAGTTAAGACTTCCTGCACCATAATTAATAAAAAAATTATTATTTTAAAGACATATAAAGTTATTAATTAATTATTTCTCATAACCCGGCCGGGCCAGCTTTTATAAGTTTTTGATATATACAAAATTTTATAAACCATTATTATCTGTTATTAATACTTCCGGGTTAGTTTTTTTTAAAAAAATTTAAAAGTCTTAATATGTTTTTTGAAATATACAAAATTTATAAACCATTAATATCTGTTATTGATACTTCCGGGTTAGTTTTTTTTAAAAAAAATGTTTTTTGAAAAAAGTTTATAAATGTTTTATAATTAAAAATTAAAAGCCGGGCGAAACGATTATTTAACAGTATTGACAAAAATTTCTGGTAGCTTACCGGTAACCAGAAAATTCATTGTTTAATGCAGGCCGACGTTGATCCATCAGCCCGAATTAAGAACATTTCTTAACTATGAAAACTAATCACGAAAAAACGCGTTATTTTTCGGAAGAATGTCTACGCCAAACTCTGTTGACTGTGTCAACGAAGATGAAAAGTTAATTTCTGAAAGCTGCCCATCCCCAGCACTTTCCGTATCGACCACTGCTTCTACGAATGATGGCCATAGAAGAAAAAAGAAAAAAAAATGTATTGTTTTTTAGTTTATTTAGTGCGTTACAACTTGATATTTAACAATAATTATTATTATCTAGATCGTTCGGTTGAATCACGCTTTATGCAACATCATCTTCTTAAACCAACAATAAGTAAAAAACCATCTATTACTGGAATTAATAGGCTCAGTATTAGATCTGGAGGCTCCGTAATCAATAGAACAAGCTTAACAAGCCTAAATAAGACGAGAACAAGCCTAAATAAGGCTAAAAGTCAAGGTATGAAAAAATTATCATGCTAATCGTTATGTTAATTGACATGTTAATTGACATGTTAATTGATAATGATTTAACTAATCACGAGTATTAAATGATGTATAGATAAGAACTCTAACAAAATTATTGGAAATGAAACTCAAGTCAGCCAACAACCATTGATTAGCTTAGATGACGAGTTAACAATGTTGAATTCTAGATTGACACAATGGTGTTTCTTGAATGCTAAAGCTGACCATGCGTTTGAGTGTCAAAAACGATCTGCGGAGGTAATCATTATATATAGTATACACATGCGCATATATAATAAATTTACTAATGTGGTAATATAATAATTTAGACACGATTATTGGATGCATGGAAATTACTTGTCAAAAAACAAGACGAATTATCAAATGCCATAAGAAAATTCACTCTGGAAGAAGATATTTCAAGGCTTGATACAACTTTGTCTTTTCAGGTGATGAGAATTTAATATTTTTCAATGAAAAAAAACCAGTCTAAATAAAGATTTCTTTGCAACGGCATAGGCGAATCTGATATTACAAATCAGCAAACATTTGGAACATTTCAAGACACGTTATGTCACATTTGCGTCATCTTTGGCAAGTACTGCAACTGCAATGCCAATTTCTAATATATTGACAGACAAATTAGGTATATATTTATTTTTCTCAGTATCTTATTATTATTACTATTATTATTATTATTATTATTATTATTATTATATACTTATTTACAATTTCTTTTTTTTCCAGATCAATTATCAGGGGAGATCGATATCTGTTCTAATGCTACTGCTGACCTATTGAAAAAATGGGAAGAAACATCACTGGTAAGAAATTCATCTATTGATGTCATATTTTAATATATCAGATTAATATATATTGAAAGATTTTGCTTCTATTTTAAAGGTCCATGATGTCGCTAGTTCGATGCAAAAACTTTGTATAAATCTTAAGGAAGAGGTTCAAGAGTTGAATGAATGTAATACACTTTTACGTGAAATTTCAGATGCAGAAATAGTTGAAACTAGTTTAAGGATAGAAAAGATTGAAAACATGAGTAATTCTGATTTAAAATGGGCCAAAGTTAATCAATGAATATTGGAACTCATTATCTACCAACAAAAAAACATTGATTCAATCTGAAACTAATGAATCACTAAATCAGACGTAGATAGTACTCAATTTGCTTAAGTAAATTTTATGCACTAAAAATTGATAATTGTAACAAGGAAGCCCTATTAAATTATTGATAAATTTGCTAAAATTACTTATGTTACTATTGTAAGAAAATGAAAAAATATACTACCTTTAACATTGGGTCATATCAAAAAAAAAAAAGATTATGTAATGCTATATGTCCTTGGTATTCAATCTTGTAATTAGTGATTCTGATGTTAACCGATAAAAATCGGCATAGTCGCTTAAATCATAGTCGATTCAACTAAGGTATCAATCAAACAACTTAAATGAAATACTCATTTTTATATACTATGGACAATCGACTTGGATAGTCGATTTTTAAATACCAAACTTAATCGAGTTTAATGTACCCAGAAATTCTTTATAGAAGGTATTCAATTTGGAATGAAAGTTGATGTATATGATTGTATAAATTCTTTATTTGCACATTATTGAAATCAATCCAACAATATTTTTAAAAATATGAATCAATGTTATCTTGATTAATATTTTGGAATATCAAAAAGCAAATCATTCTATCATGCATTCATCTTGTTCATTATATTGTTCATTATGTTTTTTTAACCAGTCCTTGCAGGCGATCTTGAACCAGATCCTTTAGTCGGTAAAGGACCTCCAGGCTGTTGACGAAATTGGGCTCTGAATTGCTCACGACTTCTTTCTTGAGCTGTTATTTTTTGATATTTTCTTAGCGAGGCCAGTAAACAATAACAATTAAAACTTAAAAATCAAGCACTTACGGTTATATTGAAGTAATTTTGTGATCAAATCAGTATGAGTTAAGACCATACGTCGACAGCAATACCTCCGAAGTCCGATCGCGTCCATCGCTGGACTTAGTCAAAAAGTTAGTAATAATATACCAAAAGTAAATCTAGAAGGAAACAGTAGAGCTTGCAATTACCCTTCGTTATAGTCACTCTCAAGCATGGTTTGATATGTTTCCCATTTATTCCCGATAACTTTACCACAAGAGAAGCATCGTACAGGAATGATCATTTTAGCAAAATTGTATTTGAGTATGGTACTGTACGTTGGAGGATTGTTTTATTAACGTTAATTGTTATGTAATAATAATAAGTATACTGTTACTGTTACACGGAAACCATAATTTTTCCCCAGTTGTGATTGGTTAAAAATATACAAACGTACATAGATAAATTATCTGATAAAAAGAATGACCGGAAAACATCCTTAATATTGGAACTTACTATTGCTATATAGACCTACACTATGTTTGACTGATATTAAACACCCTACGTAGTATTTCCTCTAGCATTGCCACAAGAAAAACTTTTATTACTGAGCGGTTCTAGTTAAAATTAATGAGTGGTTCTACGTAGTTGAATTGTATTTAATTTTAAATGAGTTAAAACGTATTATGTTGTATATGTTGTAGGTGGATTCGGAATCAACTTAAATGAATTTCGAATCTCAAAACAATTTAAGTGGAAATAGAATTTATTATCGTTATAACATTAAATACAGTATGTTCTCTATTTTTACATTTAATACTATACGTTATAATCAGTGTTGTCAATTTTTTGTTCTATTGATAAAAATTATAATCTATTCTAAATTCTATTGTTCTACGTATTCTATTGTTCTATTATTCTATTTGTTTTTTTGCTATATTAATATTATTTATAATTTATCGCTACCCGGTTTTAATCTGACGCAAGTTTTAATCTGAGGCACGACATATATATGCGTATATAAAAATTTATAAAAATTAAAATTTGAATTAAAAAAAGGGATATTTTTACGTATATTCCCACATTTATTATTATTTGTATTCTTTAATACGTAACAAAACAAACAGATACGTACGTACGTATACATATCTCAATAGTTATCTAATTTTGTAAATCTGTAAAATTCAAATAAGAAGTAATTTATTAAGATATTTTTAATCAAAAGTTTTAAAAAAATTTAAATATTTATTAAATAAAGGTACCAAATTCTTTAAATTTTGATTAAAAATATTTTAAGTAATTTAATCAAATTTTGTTTCAAAATTACAAATCTTCATTAAAATTAATTAAATACGTGGTTGTTAAAATATTTTGTAATCAAAAATTTAAAAAAAATTTAATAAGTTATGCTAAAATTGTTGTTAAACCTTGAATTAAAAATACAGTATTTTAACTAAATTTAATAATAAAATTTTAATAAATCAAAAAAAATTTTTTAAAGTTAATTAGATAATTGTTAAAATACGTATCCTTAATTAACGTTTGAATATTTCTGTGCGAATATTCGTGTAAATATTTGTGAGAATATTCTATGCGAATAGTTGATAAATATGAGAAACGTAATCACGTGAGATTATTGCAAATTCTCTATGAATATCCACGAATTCTCGGAATATCCACAAAGTTTCTATGAATATCTGCGAATTCCCTGAATATCCGTGAGTTCTCGATGAATATCCATGTAAAATGGGTATTATTATTCGCGAATGACTAAAATCCGTGAATATTCATTAAATAGCTATGATGGATATTCAAAGGATCCCAACTCTATGCTAATATAATACAAATGATAAATCTTAATAATTATTTAATTACGTATTAATTTTTAACAAAAATTTTAATATAACTTTTGTTAATAACTTAAAATTTTAATCAAATCTAATAAAAATTCTCATAATAATAATTTGAAATTTACTATCTTTACCCATAGGGTATAATACCTGGTATAATATTTATATAGAGCCCTATATATATATATTAAATTAGGTGCTGAACAATTTTACTTAAGATACCTACATATAGTTACCTTAGTAAAATTTTGAGATATTAAAGATTTTTGATTTTTTTCTTATACCGGGTATTATACCCACCGGGTACAAATAGTAATTCTCTAATAATTTTATTATTTATTAAATTTTTATTTTTAATATATAATTATTATTTACAATAAAAAAGTTTTAACTATATACATATTTATATATATACTGTATAATTTCTCTTAAAAATTTAAAAATTATATACAAAGATTTTTAATAATCAAAATACAAATAGCTCAAAGGACTATCTATGTATATTATACGTATATATGATTATGTGAAAGTGAAATTCTGGATCAAAAGTTTTAGTCGATTGGTTATTCAACTAAAACTGTTAATCATCGACTAATCGGTTATTCAATCGACTAGTTAGTCAATTACAAGTACGTAATACGTATGATCAATAATTACGTATATATCTATATATACGTATATATACGTATATATACTGTAGTGCACTAACCAAAGTACCCCCCTTTTTGCGTATCCCCCACTCAAAATACCCGGGTATTTTATATAGCATATTTTTTTTAACCGAGGATAATACCCGGGTAACTTTGCACGGCATTTTTCATATTACCACATATTGATTTCTGCATTGCGTATATAAGACCATACAAAGTATCCTCCATAAGTTTTTTTTTTTAGTTAGATTATTAGACCTCGGGTACTTTGGTCAGTGCACTACGGTAATTAGATTTGCATACGTATAAACTTTTAATTAGCAGTTAGTCAATTAATTAATTAGTCAACTATATTGACTAATCGACTAGTTTACTACGTACGATTCCTATTCTTAGTTGTAACTTTAAACTTTTCACAAGAAATAAGTTGCCTTATATATATTGTATATTGTTCATCTAGTAAGCTTTAATACTAATTAGTCAATTACAATGAGAGCAACAGACCATATTAAATCATTATGATCAGTTACAGGTTTTCGCCATTATACTACATACATTATCTAACTTTAAAAAATTGCTACGTATCTTTTTTTCTTTGTAATAACTATATATATGATTTTCAAAAACTTTTTCCATTTAAACATTATGCATATAACACTATATAGTTAAAGTTTGGATCCGGTTCCGAGTAACGGTAAAAAAAGTAATGGTATGGTATGAGTAATGATTCGCAGTTTTCCACCATGAATCTATACCCTTCAACTGTGATCTACTACTTAATTCCATGAAATTTATACCCTTCAACTCTGATCTACTACTTAATTATCTG